ATAGTTTTATATGTGTTCCGACAATTTTTATTAATGTATTATTTGTTTTATATGAATGCAAATGTATTATTTACGTATTATTTATTTACGAAGAGCATGAAGAGTCTTCTTGATTTATTTACGTATTATTTATTTATTGATAACTATTTCAAAATAGATACAATGCCACCCCGAACTGACAAGGGTAAGGCTAAGGAGACCCAGCCTCGTTCGAGAGCCAGAGTACGTGAGGTACCGCCCTCGCCCATGTATGCTTCTCGCCCACAGTCTCAGGCAGATCTAATGTCCGTAGACACTTGACAGCCATTTACGACATTACTCTCCTCCTCCCAAACGGTTCCATCTAGGAATCCATCGTTTATTAGTCCGTTTGGGGGATCCTTCATGCATCTGCTTGGGGTACCATCTACGTTTACGCAGCAGTCTGGGGGATCTAGTTTTCCTGGGGGAGCTAGTTTTCTTCCTCAGCAGTATTCCTTCGCACCGCAACCTGGGGGATCTAGTTTTCCTCAGCAGACTCACTTCACACAGCCTGTGGGATCTGTTTTTCCTCAGCAGTATTCCTTCACGCCGCAACCTTTAGGATCTAGTTTTCCTCAGCCGACACCCTCCACGCCCCAGCCAGAGGGATCTGGCTCCCGCATTCCACACCCCACACATATACCTGCACGTCAGCAGCAGGATGACCACACTGTTCAGGGGGATGACGATGTTCATGAGGAGCAGACAAATCCTGTTGCAGGGGAGCATTTGGTGGTTGAAGGACGACATCTGATTAGGCCTGAGGGATCTGGGTATGTTTTTAATTTATAATATTTATTTAGCTATATATTGTCATTTTATGTTTAATACTCGTTCAAATTATTGTTGTTTAGTTTTAATCCGTGTCGTCCTGCTGCTAAAGCTGTAAACTGGGTCATTTAATTGATGTATACAAAACTCATTAAGTCTTTCGGAGAGCTCCCAGATAATGAGAAAGATATATGGTTTGATAAATTCAAGGTAAATTGTATTTTTATTATAGTTATGTTATTTTATCACGATTTTTTTATATATATCTAACATTTTATTTGACTGTCATATAACTTGCAGGAAAGGTGTACTTGGCAGAAATTTGACGAGTTCAAAATTAAAAAAAATTTCAAAAGTAAGGTATCTAGCAGATTATCTGACATGCTTAGGAATGCTAGACAACGTTGGGAAAGAGATCAAACTCGTCCTAACTGGATAGGCGAGGAAATATTTGGTGAACTTGTTGAGTGGTGGAAGACAGAAGATTTTCAGAGAAGATCTGAACATGCTAAAAAGATGAGGGCATCTGAAGCAGGTGGCTGTCTTAATACAGTTGGAAGTATCAGTATCGGAGAACATCGTCGATGAATGGTAATTATAACTATTTTTTAAAGTTTTTTTTATTATTATATATTTAATTAAGCTTTATATTTTAATTAGAAAAAGGACTTGGGGAGGGAGCCACGAATTAATGAGCTATTTGTGAAGACCCGAACCAAAAAATCGGGCGACTTTGTTGACGGTCGTTCCAAATCAACCTTGGTAACTTGTTTATTATAGTTGAATTCTTTTAATTTCATAATTACTATATAATTAAATTGTTTAAATTATATTTAATTTAATTTTTTTTAATGTGTGTGTAGGAGTTGTACCAGACATTGCTTGCCCAATTTCTAACTGAAAATCCTCAATATACGCCGATTGGGGATGCACCGCTTGATCCACGCGTTGATTTTTATATTTGGAATTTAACAGTAGGCGGGAAGAGAGTTAATGGATTTTTTTTTGGTCTGGGGTCTTTGGCTGGTGATTATAGAAAAGGGGACCGAACTTTATTTCAGAGACTCGATGATGGGGAAGGAGGATCGCGTCCCGCAGAATTGACACCAGAAATGTTGGCAACAGTGAGACAGTTAGCTCTAGCTGAGGCGAGACGAGAGGTGGAGACACGTGAGGCGGCCCTAAAGGCCGAAATGGATGATATGAGAAATAGACAAAATGCTGAAATCGAGGAAATGAGGAAGCGGCAATCAGACATGGAGGCACAAATGCGAAAATATTTTGCCTCGAGATCGAATTATTCTCCCGAAGATGATCACCAAAGCCAAGATGAATTATTTAGTGGCGAAGAATAATTTTTTTTTATTAATATTTTTATTTGTGACGTGAATATTACGTCACAACTTTTATTATTATTATTTGTATTTGTGACGTGAATTTCATGTGCCTAAATATTTATATATTTTTAATGTATATTATTTTAACTAAAAATTATTTTAATTTTAAATTTATATTTAATATTTAATATTTATTTTAATTTTAACGTTGTTTTCAGTTAATATTATTTATTTCTTTTTATAATTAAATTTAACAGTGAAGTGGATCCCATGTCACTAATTAGTGACGTGGGAAAAAAATGGGAAAAATATTAATTCTGTGAGGTTTCCCACGTGATAACAAGGTCGCAACTTTGTGACGTGGGAATCACATGGATACTAAATTTACTTTGTGTCAGGAAAGCGTGCAGAACAATTTGGTAAAGGTAAGTTCCCACATGACTTTCACGTCACTAATTAGTGACGTGGTTTTCACGTGGGAAGTTTTCTTCTTTATTTTGTGATTTGCGACGTGGTAATCCTGTCACAACTTTGTGACGTGTTTTCCACGTGGGAAAAAGTTCCCACCATTGCATTTCCGGCGTGTTTTACCCACGTCACAACCATTGGCTAGTGAAGTGATTTTTTACATTAGTGATGTGAATATCACTTGGGAAAAGGCAATATTTCTTGTAGTGATAGGTAATAGTTGAAAGAAGAGGGTAACAGTGAAACCATGATCCTGGATGAATGTGAATCTCCGACTGCTTGAGAAGAATCTGACACAGTGTCTCACGGTGGAGAAGAAGAAAAAAAAGTACTCAAATCAAAATCTATCTGGTTCATTGAAGAGCTTGAATGAAGGAGAGCTTGAAAATTTCTCTCAACCTTCGTTTCCAAATGCCTCTGTCGAAAAAAAAAAGTATGTGGTCGATGATGAGGTTGCTTGAAACAAATATATTAAGCTACATTGTCATGAAAATTATAATAATTAATAATTATTTATTAAATTAATTAATAAAATTGAAAAGGTTGGAAAATAAAAATAAAATAAAAAAGGGAAAATTAAAGGAATAAAATAATAATGATTATGATTGGCTAAAATAATTGCGACAGTTCGCCTTAATTGTCGCGAGTGTGGAAAGATGGCAGTTCTTTGGTAACTGTTGCAATTATGTTATACAACATGCCTAAAAAATCTGCGACAGTTGGCTCAAAGCGTCGTAAGAACTGTCGTAGTTCAGAAATAAGGACGGTTTTTTAATAACTGTCGCAAAAAATCTACGATAGTTGATGCTAACTGACGTGACAACCATCGCAATCCAGGAATAAGGACGATTTTGTGATAACTGTCGCAACTCAAGTGTCGTAAATCTCCTTTTTTCTTGTAGTGATAGTACACAACTATTCATTCCGATAAGGATCGAACACAATCGAACCAAACAATCAACATCAGATGGAATCACAAAGAAAATTGAATGCTGTCATGCTCACTGGCTTGCTCGCCTAGCGAGTCCCTAGAGAATACTCGCTACCTGTTCGCCTAGCGAACAAGCTCGCGAAGGCAAACAGAAGCTACTGACTTCGTTCTCCACCTACTCGCTGCAGCGAGGTCCTAGTGAATCATTCGCTACCCCACTCACTACTAGCGAACAAGATCAAATACATTCTGTTCAAGTCTGGGATCACTCGCTAGCTTGCTCGCTTAGCGAGTTGCTAGCGAACACTCGTGACCTGTTCGCCTAGCGAAGGTGCTAGCGAACGTCTGCGATGTTCAAAACCCTCAATGTCCAAAACTCTCCAAAACTCCCAAAATCACCCGATTCAATTCCAACGAGTTCCAGTACCCTTAGTCTAACAATCCTCGACTAATCTATACCACTTATTCCAGATTCCAACCGTTAAAACCTTGATTCTACCGATTAAACTCATCTATGCCCTAGAATGGAAAATGGAGAAAACATCCAAACAATCCAAACCAATCATACATAATCATAGACATTAATATAATAACAACATTTCACACTCTTACCTTGATTAAATCGAAAGCTAGGAGTTGTTCTTGATGATTCCAAGCTTTTTCCCTTTCTTCCTTCTCTATTCTCCTCTTCTCCTTTCTTTCTTTCCTCTTTTTCTTATGTCTCTATCTTTTCCTTTTTTCCACTTTTCTTTATATTCTTTCCATTCTATTTCCTTCCATTATTTCTCTTCTCAAATATCTACCAATAATTCCAATAATTAAAACAATCCAAATAAACCAGTTATTTAATATGAATAATTAATTATTGAAAATTGGGTTGTTACAACCCTCCCCCACTTTACTAATTTTCGTCCTTGAAAATGTTACCTGATTCAAACAACTCTGGATAAGACTCCCTCATCTGACTCTCAAGTTCCCAAGTCACATTTCCACCAGCCGGTTCTCCCCAAGCAACTTTCACCAAAGCAATCTCTTTACCTCGAAGTTGCTTCAACTTCCGATCCTCTATCCGCATAGGTGATGTCTCTACAGTCAGGTTATCTCTCACCTGCACATCATCTACTTGGACTACATGAGACGGATCCGCAATGTATTTCCTCAACTGAGATACATGGAACACGTCATGGAGATTAGCAAGCAACGACGGTAAATCAACACGATAGGCTACCTCTCATATCCTCTGCAAAATCTAATAAGGACCAATAAAACGCGGCGTCAACTTACGTGACTTCAATGCCCTACCAACACCAGTCATAGGAGTAACCCGAAGAAACACATGATCTCCCTCCTGAAATTCAAGTGTTTTCCTCCTCTTGTCATGATAACTCTTCTGACGACTCTGAGAAATCTTCATCTTCTCTTGAATCATCTTAATCTTATCGGTAGTCTGCTGGACTATCTCGGGTCCAACC